TTAGCTTGGCACAGAATATTTATTTATTTATTGAGACAAAGTCTTGCTCTTGTTGCCAGGCTGGAATGCAATGGCACAATCTTGGCTCACTGCAACCTCCGCCTCCTGGGTTCAAGCTACTCTCCTGCCTCAGCCTCCCGAGTAGCTGGGATTACAGGCATGCACTATCACACCAAGCTAATTTTTTGTATTTTTTTAAAAATAGAGATGGGGTTTCACTATGTTGGCCAGGCTGGTCTCAAACTCCTAACCTCAGGTGATCCACCGGCCTCAGCATCCCGAAGTGCTGGAATTACAGTCATGAGCCACCGTGCCCAGCCCCAGAATTTTAAAGACAGTAGTAATAATAAATACCCGAAGCCAATATACATTATTTCTGGACTGAAGGAAACTTTTTTTTTTTAAGAGGGGGTTTCACCATGTTGGTCAGGCTGGTCTTGAACTCCCAACCTCAGATGATCCGCCCGACCTCAGGTGATCGACCTCAGGTGATCCGCCCACCTTGGCCTCCAAAGTGCTTTGATTACAGGCGTGAGCCACCACGCCGGGCCTTGAAGGAAACTTTTATTCCAAGCCAAAACCAAAACACATCCACAACTTTTATAAGTAAAACAGTGAAAACAAAACAGATGAAAACATCACTCAGACCATAAACCAACCACTGTATGGCATTTGAAGATCTCAAGTAAATCACCAAAGTTCTCTTAGCTTCAGTTTTCTCATCTGTAAAATGGGAATAAGAAAATCCACCTCACCAGGAATATGTAAAAATTAACTTTATGCAAAATACCTAGTAAAGTACTTGATATGAGTATCTGAGAGCACTAGTAAATGGTATTGGTAAGAATCAACAAGGAGAAAACAAATAAAAAAGATCCACTTGGGCCGGGCGCGGTGGCTCAAGCCTGTAATCCCAGCACTTTGGGAGGCCGAGACGGGTGGATCACGAGGTCAAGAGATCGAGACCATCCCGGTCAACATAGTGAAACCCCGTCTCTACTACAAATACAAAAAATTAGCTGGACATGGTGGCGCGTGCCTGTAATCCCAGCTACTCAGGAGGCTGAGGCAGGAGAATTGCCTGAACCCAGGAGGCGGAGGTTGCGGTGAGCCGAGATCGCGCCATTGCACTCCAGCCTGGGTAACGAGAGCGAAACTCCGTCTCAAAAAAAAAAAAAAAAAAAAAAAAAAAAAAGATCCACTTTACCTATGTTGCAAAACAGGAAATTATTTAAAACAGGCCCTAGGGAAGAGATAGCATGAGGAGAAATGCCAGATACAGGTGAGGGGGAGGAAGGCAGCAAATCACACCGCCATGTGTGTACCTGTGCAACGATCTTGCATGTTCTTCACATGTATCCCAAAACCTAAAATGCAATTAAAAAAAAAAAAAACCCTTATTGTGAACTCTTATTTAAATATCTGCCTTTTGTGAAAATGCTCCCCTTTTGTTCCTTTTTTATTCTTTATGTATTTATTTAGAGATGAGTCTCACTTTGTCGCCCAGGCTGGGGATCAGTGGCATGATCTCTGCTCACTGCAACCTCTGCCACCCAGGTTCAAGTGTTTCTCCTGCTCAGCCTCCCAAGTAACGGAGATTGCAGCTAATTTTTGTATTTCCCAGCTAGTTTTTGTATTTTTAGTAGAGACAGCATTTCACCATGTTGGCCAGGCTGGTCTTGAACTCCTCACCTCAGGTGATCCACCTGCCTTGGCCTCCCCAAGTGCTGGGATTACAGGTGTGAGCCACTGTACTTGGCCTCCTTGTTTCTTTTTTAAGAGACAGGGCAACCAGGCACGGTGGCTCACATCTGTAATACCAGCACTTTGAGAGGCTGAGGCAGGTGGATCACAAGGTCAGGAGTTTGAGACCAACCTGACCAACATAATAAAACCCCATCTCTACTAAAAATACAAAAATTAGCCGGGCGTGGTGGTGCACACCTGTAATCCCAGCTACTTAGGAGGGTGAGGCAGAAGGATGCTTGAACCGGGAGGTGGAGGTTGCAGTGAGCCAAGATAGCACCACTGCACTCCAGTTTGGGCGACAGAGCGAGCCTCTGTGGCAAAAAAAAAAAAAAAAAAAAAAAAAAAAAGCTGGGCGCGGTGGCTCAAGCCTGTAATCCCAGCACTTTGGGAGGCTGAGGCGGGTGGATCACGAGGTCGAGAGATCGAGACCATCCTGGTCAACATGGTGAAACCCCGTCTCTACTAAAAATACAAAAAATAAGCTGGGCATGGTGGCACGTGCCTGTAATCCCAGCTACTCAGGAGGCTGAGGCAGGAGAATTGCCTGAACCCAGGAGGCGGAGGTTGCGGTGAGCCGAGATCGCGCCATTGCACTCCAGCCTGGGTAACAAGAGCTAAACTCCGTCTCAAAAAAAAAAAGGGAGAGAGAGAGAGAAACAGAGAGAGAGAGGGAGAGAGAGAGAAAAAGAGAGAGAGAGAGAAAGAGAGAGAGAGAGAGAGAGACAAGGCTTACTCTGTTGCCCAGGCTGGAGTGCAGTGGCCCAATCACCACTCACTGTAGCTTATGGGACTCAAGCTGGGACTATAGGCAGGAGCCACCACATCTGGCTAATTTTTAACTCTCCACTTTCTGATAACCGACCCCATTCCATCCAGATGGCTGGGGGAGAGAAGCGGGTAGGGCAAACGGGGGAAGATGCCTTGTTTTACAGTGGTCCTGCTCCCCAGCCACACAACACTGTCTTAAATATGTTCACAAAAATCAAAGTTTTGGACAAGCAAATGATATTTACAGGTTTCGGTGAAACTCACTACTTAAAAAAAAAAAGGCTTACATTGCCTTGTGAAATGCAAAAGACTATAAAGATTCTCAGTACTTAAGCCAGGTTTTGCAGAAATAGGGTTTACCTACAGCAACATCTGCTAGAAAGCTTTCTGATTACCTTTCAAAAGGCCATTTCTTTCCAAATGCTGGACAAGCACACCAATAACTACTTTCCACAGTGTGCTCAAACAGTAGACAAAGCATGCTGAGTACCGTCCTTTTGATCACACCAACACTGTCTGGTTGGATTGCAGCCAACAACAGGGCTCAAGCAGGATTTATCTTTCCTGTAGATCACGTAGTACATTTGCCTAATGCAGTGCCCTAGATTTTGCAAATTAGATTCACTGATGTACTTGCAAGTCGGCAGATTTGAACATTTTCAAGGAAGGCAGACACTTGTATAAAACAGTCTGTCTTGATCATCAATAAAAACACCAACTATTTTGAGCCACCTACTATGCTTTTGCTGTAGTTTTCAATTTCTGTAAAGAATTTCTTGGCTTTTAGCAAAGTCGAGGTTGAGCTAATACGCTGATGTTACATCTGTATTTGCACTGCACAGGAAGACCCCATAGACCCTAAATATCTGTTTGAAATATACTCAGGCCAAAAATTTCTATTGTGTGGCCATGACAGGCACTGACTAAAGGAAACTTGAAACTATAAATAGCACAGTGAACACCATATGCCTGGGATGAAATGTTTTGCCTAAAATGGTACAAGGAAGGGGTTCACAGTTCGGCAAACAGTCCGTATATCAAAAAATGAGCAAAAAACAAAAAAACCACACACACACACCCCTAATTCGTTATTAAAGAGATACTAATTTTTCTCTACCGGGCACGGTAGCTCTTGCCTGTAATCCTAACACTATGGGAGGCTGAGGCGTGCGAATCATTAGGTCAGGAGTTCTAGACCAGCCTGATCAACATGGTTAACTCAGCCTCTACTGAAAAGACAAAAACTTAGCTGGGCGTAGTGGTGGGCGCCTGTAATCCCAGCCACTCGGGAGGTTGGGGCAGGAGAATCGCTTGAACCCGGGAAGTGGAGGTTGCGGTGAGCTCGGATCAGGCCACTACACTCCAGCCCGAGGCACAGAGTGAGACTCCGTCTCAAAAAACAAAATAATAATAATAATAATAATAACAATAATAATTTTTCTCACTAAAAAAAGATATATACCATTTGTCTACCATTTTCAGGGCATTTCCTCTAGATGCAGTGGTATTCACTGCAAAGCAGCTCGGGTCTAACTCTCCACCATGATGGCACAAAACCCAAAATGCAGTGGACTCTGACAAAGTGCTGCTGCACTCTAGGGGTGCCAACAACCAACGCAGGGCAGGTGCTGAGCAAGACCGCATCAGGTTTCCTCCCTACCTCTGAAAATCACTGCTCCTCATATAAAGAAAATGTTCAAAGTTCCAACCAGGAAAAAAATGCCGTATGTGCCTGATGAGTCTGTCAAGAAAAGGTCCTAGGACCACCTGTCCATGCGCAGGAAAAATGTGGATGTAAAATGGCTTCCCCAGGCAGATGGAGTATCACAAGCACATCCCTTCCACGAGTAAGGGCTTTAAAACATGGGCGGGGGACCCATTCACAAGAGGATGCCAAGAACCTCCAGCTACTTCAGCGCGGGATCCGAACATGCGACGGGCGTTAAAGTGCAGGCCACCCGAACAGAGACGCGGCCAGGGAGACCAGGCACCGAGAACTCCGCAATCCTAACCACTAAGTTTCAAAATATGCCCCGTCACCTCCGCTGGGCCGTCCCGCAGCCGTCGAAACACAAAGCGCACGGGCTTTAAGAAGAAAGGAAACACGTGCTACGCAGATAAACAGAGTTTCTTGGCCCCGGGTGCGCCCCGCGCGACGCCGCGAAGCTGCGCGGAGGCTGGAGGCCGGAGGCCGGCTCCACGCACCACCTGGGCGCCCTGGGTCGGGTACCGTTCCCCGCCCCGCGACCCCGGCCCCTCATCGCCCCGACCGCCTGGCGCCCCAAACTCCCGGCCTCCCCCGTCGGCTCTGGCCTAGCCGGGAAAAGCGCGGACGCGGCGCCGGGAGAATTAAGTTTCTAATAATACAACTTTAGGCGGATGAGCGCGCGCCTCACCCCACCGCGAGGCCGGGCCAGGAGCCCAGCTGGGGGCGCGGAAGCAACGTGGGTCCCGGGGCCCAGGGCCGGGCGACCCGCACTCACCAGGTACCAGACACCGAGCAGGATGGTGCCGGTGCGGACATGGCAGCACAGGCAGCAGCTGTTGGAGTAGAACCGCGTCCAGGGCGCGACCATCTTCATAGCTGCGGTGGCAACGGCGCGAGCGCGCGCCCAAGTTTTCAGGAGCGTCGACCGCCTTGTCCGGAGCTCGCCGCGCCGCTGCTGCCGACTCCTCAACCGCTCCGGCTCCCGGCCGACTCGCCCGTGCGCCCACAGGCCTCCCTCCTCGATCCCCCGAGAGCTGCGAGCGGCTGCCGCGGCGAGACCCGGCGCTCCGAAGGCGGCGGCGGCGCGGGCGGGGAGGGGGCGGGGGCGGTTTCGCCACGTGACTCCGGCCCGTGACGTCACCGCGGGCTCCTGCCAGCTGCAGGAGCTGCGATCCCGGGTGAATAAATTCATCAGCTGTGCACCCTCTGCCGGGTGCGTCCGTCCCCGTGTCGGCCCGTGGTGTAGGTACGGGCCTTCGCTCTTTCATCTGGCCATTCGTGTAACTTCATTCCGGGGTTGGGATTCCTTTAGTCTAGTTCCTTGTGGATTTCTTCCCTTCTACTACTCTTTTTTTTTTTTTTTTTTTTTTTGAGACGGAGTCTTGCTGTCGCGCAGGCTGGAGAGCAAGGGTGCGATCCCGGATCATTGCAACCTCCGCCTCCCAGGTTCAAGTGATTCTCCGGCCCCAGGCTTCTAAGTAGCTAGGATTACAGGCGCCCGCCACTACGTTCAGCTAATTTTTTGTATTTTTATATAGACAGTGTTTCACCATGTTGGTCAGGCTGGTCTGGAACTCCTGACCTCAGGTGATCAGCCCGCCTCGGCCTCCCAAAGTGTTGGGATTACAGGCGTGAGCCACGCACCCGGCGGCCCCCTTCTACTTCTATCTTGCAGGCAATCGATACAGCTCCTATCACTCTTCTCTGGCACAAAGGAAGGAAAACTGCGCGGTGCTATTCCAGTCAATTGCAGTACTTTGAACCGCCGCCGACAGCAATTTGTCTCTGCTTCCCAGCTCAATTACTGTGGTAGTAATCTTTTCCCAGAAAATAGGATGTGTTTCAAGGACATCCTCTCTGTGCTTAGGGTAGCATTTTTAATCATTTTTAGAGTGCAGCTCTAAAGATTCAGTTCCACCTGGGCAACATGGCGAAACCCCGGCTTTACAAAAAATACCAAAATTACCCGGGCGTGGTGGCGCGAGCCTGTGGTCCCAGCTACTCTGGGAGAATCACCTGAGCCCGGGAGTTCGAGGCTCATTGCGCCACTGCACTCCAGCCTGGGAGACGGGAATGAGACCCTTCTCAAAACATAAGAAAGAGAAGTAGTCATCCAACCAGTTACACGAGGTCTCTGCAAGACACAACACAGTATTAGCGAGAGTGAAAGATAGCTCCGCTTTGGAGTTTATTTCCTCCCAACTCGTGTTTTGTCTAGAAGCACCCTTGTCCGATATTAGCTCATGGACTACTGTTAAAGCCAAGAATCTGGGATCGTTTCCATTATTAGCACGGGTGAAAGTTTTATTTCAGACATGGAGCAAAACAAAAATTGATTTGATCTAAATTTCCTAAAATTAGGCTAAATAGGAAGAAAGGCACTGTTTAAAACTATTCAGTTACAGAACCGGTAGTTTCACAAGGCTTTAAAGATGCAACATTCTCACAGTGTAGCTTAATCCTGGAAGCAAGAGCCATCCCTACTATGTTAAGTGTACGCCCTTAATCATAAATTATAAGTAACATTATTTGAGGAGTTAATCAGAAAAGCAAACAAAAGCTCCATTTTCGTTTTGTGTTTTCACTACAAAATTCTGGTTTCTGGCCGGGCGCGGTGGCTCACGCCTGTGATCCCAGAACTTTGGGAGGCCGAGGTGGGCGGATCACGAGGTCAAGAGATGGAGACCAACCTGGTCAACATGGTGAAACCCCGTCTCTACTAAAAATACAAAAAATTAGCTGGGCATGGTGGCGTGTGCCTGTAATCCCAGCTACTCAGGAGGCTGAGGCAGGAGAATTGCCTGAACCCAGGAGGCAGAGGTTGTGGTCAGCCGAGATCGTGCCATTGCACTCCAGCCTGGGTTACAAGAGTGAAACTCCGTCTCAAAAAAATAAATAAATAAATAAATAAATAAATAAATTCTGGTTTCTTCAAGTTGAATGATGAACAACAACAAAAATTCTGGTTCTTTTCACATTGGAGATCATTTTCTCTCTGGGATCTTCCATTAAAATTTAATTATGCCCAAAGCCATATATATATACATAGGATAATAGAAGACATATATATATATGATATATATACATAGGAGATATATATATGAGATATATATCCTAGTCAAATGCAGTAGTGACGGGGGGAGGGGGGGAGAGTAGAACAAGGAGTTCCATCTGTAACTGACCATAAACAATGAGATAACAAACTACCTTCAGACCAGCTCACAGCACCGTTTTTTGGTTTTTGGTTTTTGGTATTTTGGGGTGGAGTGCAGTAGTGCGTGCAATCTTGGCTCACTGCAACCTCTCCGCCTCCGGGTTCAAGCAATTCTTCTGCCTCAGCCTCCACACGGGTTACAGGCGCCCGCCACCACACCAAGTTAATTTTTTTTTTTTTTCGAGACGGAGTTTTGCTCTTGTTACCCAGGCTGGAATGCAATGGCGCTGTCTCAGCTCACTGCAACCTCTGCCTCCTGGGTTCAGGCAATTCTCCTGCCTCAGCCTCCTGAGTAGCTGGGACTACAGGCATGCACCACCATGCCCAGCTAATTTTTTGTATTTTTAGTAGAGATGGGGTTTCACCATGATGACCAGGATGGTCTCGATCTCTTGACCTCGTGATCCACCCATCTCAGCCTCCCAAAGTGCTGGGATTATAGGCGTGAGCCACTGCGCCCGGCCTGCTAATTTTTTTTTTTTTTTTTTTTTTTTTTTTTTTTTTTTTTTTGAGACGGAGTTTCGCTCTTGTTACCCAGGCTGGAGTGCAATGGCGCGATCTCGGCTCACCACAACCTCCGCCTCCTGGGTTCAGGCAATTCTCCTGCCTCAGCCTCCTGAGTAGCTGGGATTACAGGCACGCACCACCACGCCCAGCAAGTTTTTTTTTTGTATTTTTAGTAGAGACGGGGTTTCACCATGTTGACCAGGATGGTCTTGATCTCTCGACCTCGTGATCCACCCACCTCGGCCTCCCAAAGTGCTGGGATTACAGGCTTGAGCCACCGCGCCCGGCCTTTTTTTTTTTTTTTTGAGACAAAGTCTCACTCTTGTTGCTCAGGCTGGAGTACAAGGGCACAGTGTTGGCTCACCACAACCTCTCCCTTCCAGGTTCAAGTGATTCTCCTGCCTCAGCCTCCCAAGTAGCTGGGATTACAGGCATGTGCCACCATGCCTGGCTAATTTTGTATTTTTAGTAGAGATGGGGTTTCTCCATGTTGGTCAGGCTGGTCTTGAACTCCCGGCCTCAGATGATTCACCTGCCTTGGCCTTCCAAAGTGCTGGCATTACAGGTGTGAGCCACTGTGCCTGGCCCCAGCTATTTTTTTGTATTTTTAGTAGAGATGGGGTTTCACTATGTTGGCCAGGCTGGTCTCAAACTCCTGACCTCCTGATCCACGGGGAACTGCCTCGGTCTTTCAAAGTGCTGGGGGATTACAGGCATGAGCCACCGTGCCCAGCTCACAGCCACTTTTAATATTGGACACGCATTTTTGCTCTGAGAAAGAATAGAGATGTAGTATCAGAATGGGAAATGCTACCTTGAAAGAGACTTTTTCAACAATTAAACGCCCATCAAGCTCCCATAGTTACCTTCCCTTTTCCCGTCCCCACCAGAATTTTACACAAGTTAGGCAAATCAGTCATTGATTCAAGGGAATTTTATATTTTAGAAATATTACTGTTTAAGATCTGAACTTACAGACAGTTGCCAAATTTGTGTAGATAAGACAGAATAGAGGGAAGCTAGCTGGAGGAAAAAAAGAGAGAGAGAGAGGCAAATGCCTTTGCAGGTAAAGTTTATGAAATAAAGCTCAGTATCAGTGTTTTTGGAGGTGTATTTTTTTGGGTGCTAGAGAGTATGGGAACTGGCTTCAAAAGAACAGATGAAACCACCTTTCCAAAATTATAGCTAAGGAAATTATGGCAAGTGAAAGACATCAGATCTAACCAACTCTTTTTTTTTGTTTTGTTTTGTTTTTTGTTTTTTTGTTTTTTTTTTTTTTGAGACGGAGTTTCGCTCTTGTTACCCAGGCTGGAGTGCAATGGCGCGATCTCGGCTCACCACAACCTCCGCCTCCTGGGTTCAGGCAATTCTCCTGCCTCAGCCTCCTGAGTAGTTGGGATTACAGGCACGCGCCACCATGCCCAGCTAATTTTTTGTATTTTTAGTAAAGACGGGGTTTCACCATGTTGACCAGGACGGTCTCGATCTCTTGACCTCGTGATCCACCCGCCTCGGCCTCCCAAAGTGCTGGGATTACAGGCTTGAGCCACCGCGCCCGGCCTTTTTTTTTTTTTAATAGACGGGGTTTCACCATGCCAAGGGGGGCAGATCACAAGTTCATGAGTTAGAGACCAGTCTGGCCAACATGGTGAAATCCTGTCTCTACTAAAAATGGGGAAAAAAATAGCTGGGTATGGTGGTAGGTGCCTGTAGTCCCAGCTACTTGGGAGGCTGAAGCAGGAGAATCCCCTGAACCCGGGAGACAGAGGTTGTAGTGAGCCAAGATCACGCCACTGCACTCCAGCCTGGGCGGCAGAGTGAGACTCCGCCTCAAAAAAAAAAAAAAAAAAGATGACCATCTAACCTAGTGGCACAAGTCACTATGATATATGTCAGCATGTATGCTGTAGATCATTAAAAGTAAAAAAAGGAAAAAAAAAAAAAAAAAAAAAAAAAAAAGGCCAGGCCCAATAGCTCTCACCTGTAATCCCAGCACTCAGCACTTTGGGAGGCCGAGGCAAGTGGATTACCTACCTGAGGTCATGAGTTTGAGACCAGCCTGGCCAACATTGTGAAACCCCGTCTCTAGTAAAAATACAAAATTAGGCCGGGCACGGTGGCTCAAGCCTGTAATCCCAGCACTTTGGGAGGCCGAGGCGGGTGGATCACGAGGTCAAGAGATCGAGACCATCCTGGTCAACATGGTGAAACCCCGTCTCTACCAAAAATACAAAAAATGAGCTGGGCATGGTAGCGCGTGCCTGTAATCCCCGCTACTCAGGAGGCTGAGGCAGGAGAATTGCCTGAGCCCAGGAGGCGGAGGTTGCGGTGAGCCGAGATCGCGCCATTGCACTCCAGCCTGGGTAACAAGAGCGAAACTCCGTCTCAAAAAAAAAAAAAAAAAAAAAAAAAAGAAAAAAAAAATTAGCTGGACACGATGGTGCGTGCCGGTAATCCCAGCCACTTGAGAGGCTGAGGCAGGAGAATCGCTGGAACCGAGGAGGTGAAGGTTGCAGTGAGCTGAGATCGCACCACTGCACTTTAGCCCAGGCGACAAAGGGAGACTCCA